TTAACAAGGGAAAGTATGAGCATCGTGGAGCTTCTATCTGTCACGAGTATTTCCGAATCGAAGATTTGTTAGTGACAAAAATTCTAACGGGTCAAGACACAGGTGGGTGAACAACTCACAAAATAGGGTTCTATTTCAGTTTTTGCACCTAATTCGTCAGCCTCGGCATTATCAATAGAAAACTTGATGGGTAATGCACCATCCCAAATGGCTCTGGTAATGGGATTCTGAGGTGCAGTCATTTTTCGTATCTTAACAGATCTGTGAATATGAGTAATACTTACTGGTCTACACATCTTTCATTGGCTCATATATAACCTAATTCATGGATTCTTAATTTGGAAATGAGTTTATGACTTGTGACTTCATTTTTCATCTGTCACAATATCAGATCGAAATCCGATTTTGCGTTGGGAAAAAAAGGAATGAAACCTGAACTTAACGAAAAATCACAAAATGCATTCCTCGGTTTACGCGGGATCGTAAAGGTATACTTGCTATTTTGTGTTTTGTGTTCAAGAAAATTTTATTTTACGGTTATCGATAAATTTTCTAGGCAATTGTCAAAAATTCGAATGGCAGCGAAGTATGTCACACGTTTTCCTCTGGTTCAAAAAACTCAAATAGCACCAATGTTGATTTACGAATTCCACCTTCTTTTTAAAGGAGGTGATGAGAACTGCTAGACTTTTCGCGAATATTGACGTATCGATGAAATCTACCCATCAGGTATGTTTTAAGGATTTTTTATGACATTCATTTAACTGACAAAAGAATGTAACATTATTGATTAGTCTTTGGAGAAATTAACATCAGGAATTACACAACTTCAAGAAAGGTATTTTCATTTCAGATGTCTACTTTTTTTTTTTGGTTTTATAAAAAAAAAACTTAACAACTCCTTGAAAATTAACATTAAATACGTAGAAACGTGCAAATACTTAATACTTTATACGTGATTCCTCAAATTTCTGATAACCTGAAAGTTGATGAGTTGATAAAAACCTCATCTAATGATTCCTAGTGTTTCTCGCCTTATGGTGACAATTTGACTTGTGTTGACAGGTCTATTATATATAATTATGTACAATTCGTCTATACTCAATTGAATATGATATCGCCAGGCGAATCCTCATTTTTTTTATCCACCACCACTACTCGAAGAAATCATACGATTATCAAAATTTAAATTTGCTTCAATGAATGTTTCTTTGATGTGATCACATATCGTTTTCAAGTCCTCAAGACCTTTTCGCAAAGCTTCGATCGCGGTTGTATTCTCTTTGGGTGATAGTTGGTTATCATCGAGATCGAAGAAAAAATATTTTTTTTTGACTGTTGTTACACCTACCTGTGGTCTGAACGCGTATATTGAGCTTGTCTTCAGAAGGATGTGGAATCGAATAACCGCAATACTCAACCTCGGGACTCAATAGTTCACCATAATATCATGATTAATAACGTGTTGGTGCGTGTTTTTTTAATGGATGTATATGTGTGGACCTCTAAGACCTACTTTAGCATAATCGTATAACGCAAGGCATTCCCCAAAGTATGATCTTCGCCATTTATAGTGAAGGTCACGCTTGTGGGATCTTTCACCACGCCCTTTTCCGCCTTCTAAAAGCATGAAAGAAAGGTGAGAGTCACATTCATGAAATCGAAAAGGTTAAATATAAGAACAAAATGAATTACAAAGTCCAAGATGTCGTCCACCATTACTTCTGGCGCGGTTAAGAGGTCTTGATCTGTTGGTTCACCGATATCACTAGAATTCATGTTGTCAGTTTCCATTGGCACTGAAGACCCATCGAGAGGTTCGCCGCCAGTGGACATGACTCATTGAGTGAAAAGTTGATTTATTTCTGATGAGATGATATACAGTACATGCGTATTTGACGTGATAACACAAGTTCAATGACCAATCGTCAATCACATAAAATGATGCGTTTTTTTTTTTATTCAATCCATGATAATTTTTTACAAATAATATATTTTTTTTAGCACCTACGTACGTAAGTTAAATAAATATGAAAAAGCAAAGGATTATGCGACGAAATTTTTTGGTAAACCGAACGAGTGATGGAACATGTGACCAATTTTTTTGAGATAAATTTTGTTTCCTATATACATCTGATATCGACGTATTGTGTGTCTTTATTGCGTGATCAGTGAAAAAGAAACTTGGATTAATTTAAGTGGCAATAACAATGATAAGAAATATGAAGAGACGCAACATACCGACGATTTTTCTTGATGCGGTCCTGGTCCTAACCATCCATTGACCATTTGGCATTGCGAGGTAAAAATTCGAATGACCTGTACCATCATCGCATTCACCCGTTGTCCTACTGGTCCTACTTGACTCAGCTTCACTGTTCGCAGAGGTGTAATAGTTACAATCATTCCCGAATTCTCGAACATCACTAGTTCTACCCTTAATACCGTGGTTATATCTTTTTTTTACTAGCGTCACTCCCTTCTCTTCTGTCAAATTATCCGATTTCTCGGGACTATTGTTATCATTGTTCGATGAAGTTGAATTATTACTACTAGCGTCATTTCTCTTCAATTGATTATCCGCGTCGACGCCATCCTCTTCTTTCATTGACATGTTTCTATTTAAATTTCCAATTTTCGATTTAAAAAATCTACGCAAAAATCCATTGTTCGATTTACTATTTTTCAAATTATTAGTAGAAGCCCTTTTCTTTTTCCCTGGGGATAAATTTCTTCCATTATCCCCAATGTCAGCTTCTTCCTCTGGGACCTCGATAATTTCTTCGACTTGGGAGAATTTTGATTTTTTTGATAGTATACTTCTGTCATCTCCGTCCATCGACTTTCGAAAATGAATTGAGCTACGTCTGCTAAGATTACTCTTCCTATGTCGAAGTGTTTGATTGATCGAGTCACTCTCCGATTTCTCTGTATCTTCTTCCGCGGAAGAAGGGCACATTTCATTGACTTGATTGACTGTTGACTGTGATGATGGCGAGTTTAAGGGATGGCGCATAATTCGAGCATACTCTTGTGCTGGGGTTTCGGGTATTTGTGTTTCTGTCACGTGACATTCTTCGGGAATTTGTGCAAATCCGGAATCGGTTTTTTGGTGTTCATAAACTTTCCTTACAGTCTGTTTGTCATTCGTCGAATCCGAAGTACGAACTTTTGGATCCACCACTGGCTCACTTCCAATCGTATCCGCCAGGTTCATAATACGTACAATGAAGGCGGTGTCATCCCATATATCATCGTTGTCACCGTTGTCAGTGAGATGAGAATTTTTTGCGGTAACCATCGAGGCTCTCGAGGTAGAAACGAAAGAATTTCGTGGAGAATTGTTCGCCAAAATTGTAGGATCGATTTCTGGAGCTCGGTTATTGTCGTGATTATCCTTTATAATGTCGTTTGCCAATTTCAAATGTGGTCGCCCTGTTTCTTCGGTTTTCTGGGAAGGAGGGTGTGGGAAGGTAAACAGAAACGATTGTAGTGAGTCTCGCTCACTCATAATTTCTTAATTACACCTGTCAGGCTGAAATTTTAGTTTGTTTCTGCACTCTATAACCGAGTATGACGACCTACTGAAAGAGGGCGCGGATTTCAAAAGTTTAGAAAGGATTTATGACAAAAAAGTAGATTGATTTTTGAGTTTCTGTTTCCGATGAATTTATTGTGCCCTCAATACGCAACAAGTGTGACAGCTCAGGTGCAAAGTATTGGATTCCGCCATGCGTGACCATGAAACAAAGAAACAGTCTCTCAAGATTTCCAAATAAAGCTAGAAAAGGGGAAGATGCGCCGTTACGTATCTACTGATTATAAAAGGAATTT